CCTCTCTTGTAGCTAAAACCGAACCGTTCGAAACAACTCTCGAGGTGATGTAGCTACACAAGAATAAACAAAATGAATGTTGAAAAAAATAATAGGGGAAACCATCTAAAATTGTTTAGCTAACTTTAAAAGATGGGCAGCGAGGGGGCTTGCTGAACGTTCAACGAAAAGTAATTCCAAAGGGAGGGACTAGCAATGGAAAAAGCTCGATCCCCTCTGAGCTTCCTCTTAGTCCTCGGTACCTCCAGTAGCATCTGGTCCGCTGACCTGAAACACTGGGCAGGTGCATAGGAGCGGAGGAGCTCAGAGAGGTAAGGTGGGGATAGAAAATGACTGAAAAACAAAGAAAAGAACTTCAAATGAAATATAAAATGAAGGGAAGCCAGAATTGGAGTTATGTGCTCCCTCTTACGAGCTTAAGATAGAAGGCGAGCAGCAGCATTTTGGACCAACTGGAGACACTTGAGAGGAGGACTGGCTGACTCCAAAATTAAGTCCATTACAATAATTCATCAGAGATGTAACAAAGGCATGGATTACAGTTTCTAAGTACTGCTGTTTTTACTTTCGCCAGCTGCCTAAAATTGAAAAAAAAAACTGCTGGATTGAACAACAACACAAATTTGCTAGTTCATTTTAAAATCACTGTCCAATTTGAAACCCAAATTCTAGACTGTTGGCCTTAGATAAAATGCCATAAGGCCCAAGTCAATAGGGTGAGACCACTGGGACCAAACATCCTAACTTCTCTTCTTTTCATTGACGTTCAGAGCCATGAAGCTATACAATCGAGTCATTTCAGTTACGTTAAGGCAAGACGGGAGAGAGTGATGGCACAGCAGCTTGAGAATGACAAAGAAATCCATTTTTGCACATGTGCTACGCTAACTTCAGTGATGCGAAAGTCAACCTTAATTTGGAATATAAACACGTAAATCAGGTGTCACTCCTTGATGTGCGGCAGCTTGAACAAAATACATAATTCTTATGCTATTCTAATTGAAATTATGTCACGGGCAAAATAGAGGGAGTGATGAAGGGCTGCATAAATATTTTTTTTGTTTAAAAACGGAAAAATATAGCAATTTGAATTTTGAAGGGACTCAATAAAATGTGTTTGTTACAATACGAATGTATATTTAGCAGCACTGTACACAGGTGTGCGTGCCATGAGGAAATATTTCGGCGCCAGACCCACTGTTGCTCAGTTAAATTATTCCCCAAAAATTGTAACACAGGATCTCATGAGATTGTGATGAGAAGAGTAGCTAATATTACTCATGCTTGATAATACCACCACGACAACTTATTAAAAAAAAATAATAATAATAATTCCGTGTGATTTGGAAAATCCTCTCAGCCAATCAACACACATTTCTTTATTTGGAACTATTTCGAAATGTTGAACCTTGATACATACAGTTGCACATAGTCACTGAAATAATATTCCATCCATTCATTTTCCACGGTGCTTATCCTGAATAGGTTCGCGGGTGAACTGGAGCCTATCCCAGCTGACTTTGGGAGAGAAGCAGGGTGCGCCTCACACTGGTTGCCAGCCAATCACAGGGAACATCGAGACAAACAAGGATTCACACTCACGTTCACACCAAAAGACAATTGAGCGTCATCAATCAACCTTATTTATGGAATGAGGGAGGAAGTCAGCAACTCGGGGGGGAAAAAAATATATACTGACCAACAAATTAATATCTTGAGTGTTTTGAAGTTGATTTTGTTTGTGTTTAATATTAAGTTTTTTATATATATATATATATAGCCATATATATATATATATATATATATATATATATATATCAAATGTCTGAGCTTCAATTTTCTTTTCCCACTCACTATTTATGAGTTTACCAGGGTTTTTTTCTGGATTGTTAGCACATCTTTACAGCTCAACAATTTCCATTGTGTGTTCGTAATATTTTATTATTCTGCTCCATTTAAATTCGTTTTCCCTAACGGGATGAAGAAAGTATCTATTTATCTATTGCTGTTTTTTTAAGCTATTTAAATCCATAACAAACAATACAGAAGCTCAAAAGGTGCCCACTATGGCGTCCGGTCCATTCTACTCTCTGGCCAATTAAAAGCTGATCTGCGCCGAGGAGGGGTCGTCAAGTGTTTGTAGGGAGAAGTTTTGACAGCCATTCAAAGGTTTCGGTGGAAACAGGCGCACATGGCAACGCAGCATCCCATTCAGCCTGACGAGAGCGACTCCAGGCAGCACCGAGCTCAGCAGGGGGTTGTAAACATTTACACTAAGAGCCTGTCCAGTGCACATGCTCCGCGCTTGCCAGCCACCTCGGTATCGAATGTTGTGTTGCATATTTTGTCATTCAGGCCCGTCCCGAAAATTGTAGGAATCACACCATCAATTTATGAAGGAGCCATCCAAAATGTGACAAGAGGCTTATGCTGAGCGGAGGAAATAGAGCTAAACATTGTTCAAACACCCCGAGACCCACATGGTAAGGGAGCGCTCGGCGGCGAGCTGCGATGCACCCCGCTGTGAACTGGGAAAGTGATGTTGGTGGGCTCGCGTCTCCATGAGGGCCGCGGCGTTCCCGGGCCCCCCCTATTTGAAGCCTTTTTGAAGTCTGTTGCCTGCAGCCGCGTGTGCCAACTGCAAGGCTTCCTCAAAAGGGAAATTAAATGAATGTGCTATATAGTGTGCCGAATTCCCCCGACTGTTTTCAAGGTGTGATTAAAGCCATTTGTTATTATAGATGCCCCCAAAGTCACTCATCATTATTTTTAAAGGTACTTTGGGAGTGTGTCCCAAAGTAAAATTGCAATCTATTTGGAACTTCAGTGATGTGAAGTGCAGTAGCTCAAGAGCATGTTTGGAAAATGTTTTTCTTGTTGAGCTTGCAATGCTAAGCTACCTTCAATTGTTTTAGGTAGTGTGTTCAAAGTTGTGCGAGTAAACATATACAGTATAACCAAATGCAACATTTCCTATAAAAAAATAAAAAAAAAAGATCGTGCGATAGTCTGCCAACTGTTTTAAAGACATGATTAAAGCTATTTAGTTATTGTTGACGCCCCAAAGTAACAAATTATTGATTTGAAGATACCTGATGACTATATCGCGCAATACAACTGCAATCAGTTTGGAGTGATACAACATTTGTTTTGTGATAGGCAAAATGGAATCCAACAAGCCTGAGAAAAATGACAAAAATAAAAAATCTTAGCTCACTTTAGTTAGACAGTGTTTTAGGCTTCTGAGAGTCTATCCCAAAGTAAAATTTCCTGGAATTGGGAATAAGATGCTTTCAGTCAAAGGAAAAAAAACAAAAAAACAGCGTAAATGCTGCAGCAGCTTGAGAAAAAATGTTTTTATTGGTGTCGCTTCTTTTACTGCAAACTTTGAGGCACTCTTTTTAAAATTTTACAAACTCAGAAAAGGCGAAAGGGGGAAAAATTATGGAATATTCCAAACGATGAAAAAATATTGGGGGGAGAAAAAAATGCACATTCGAGTGTAGATTTAAGTTGGAATATCACCAATCACCACTAGATGGCAGACATTTCTTGCACTTACACCACCCTATATTACAAAATGAGTAGGTCTCAATATTATTTTTCAATTTTGCCATGATATGTGCGTTCCAGTGGTCGACTGGCTAGCACGTCCGCCTCACAGTGCAGAGGCGCAGGGTTCAATTCTGGCTTTGGCCTTCCTGTGTGGAATTTGCATGTTCTGCCCCTGCCTGCGTGGATTTTCTCCGGGTACTCTGGTTTCCTTCCACATTCCAAAGACATGCATGGCAGGTTAATGGAAGACTCTAAATTATCCCTAGGTGTGATTGTGAGCGCAAATGGTTGTTCGTGTACGTGTGCCCTGCGATTGGCTGGCAACCAGTTCAAGGGGTATACCCCTCGTCCTGCCGGAAGAAAGCTGGGATAGACTCCAGCACGCCCGCGACGCTTATAAGGTTAAGCAGATTGGAAAATTAAACTCCAAAACTAGCTTGAGTTATTTTAAAGATTGTGCGAGTGTAACCCATCTTAAAATGGCCACCAATTTGGAATAAGTTCATTTTAGCAAATGGCTTAGGTGGAACGAGTGATAGCACAGCAGTTGGGAGAAAAAATAAAGAAACGTTTTTATTTTATAAATCTGTTGAGCTATTTTCCAGTTATGTTTAAATGGGTGCATACAACAACAACAAAAAAGGTTTAGAATAGGCAAATGTATTCTCAGATATATTCAAGGCGCACTTTGCAAATTGATGCCTCAGCACTTTTGTTGAACAAAACAACCTAAGGTTCTGAATTTTTGTTGTGTGAGGCATTGAAGGTATGAAGTTGATCCCAAACTAAACTTGCTGTCAAATTGGAAGAAGCGAATTTCAACTATATCAAAGGCAAAAAAGTAAGCTTAAGATAAGAAAACCTTTATTTGTCCCACAATGTAGAAATTCCAATCTACAGCAGCAAAATGTAAGGGGGGGGGGGGGGCGAAAAGAAAAACAAAGTATTGCATGCATAAAAATAAATGTTTCAGAAAAAGAACTGCACACAGTACAGAATGCAATATAAAATATAGATATCAGCATATATGCGACTGCATATATGCTGCATAAGGTGGCTGTGCTATTTATAATGTATGGATGGGGTGAGTCCAGGTTTTCAAGTTTAATGGTGCAACAATGTGATAAAAATGAAATGAATGAAATACTGCTCAGCTAACTTCAGCTCAAGGCAGTGTATTTAGGTTTTGTGTACGTAAAATTGCCATCATTTTGGAATAAGCCAACTTTACTTTTATAAAAGCCGAGCAAGTGATGCAGCAGCAGATTGAGAATAATAATTAAAACGAACAACAACAGCCTTTATCCCCTAAATCTGCAAAGTGAAATGCAGTGTGTAAAAGGTTGTGTGGGTGTATCACAAATTCCAAGCGCAGTCAATTTGGAAGATGTGAAGTGCAATAAATTGGGATCTCACTGCATACAAAAAAGGGAAGGCAGTGAAAGTGTATTTCGGATCCATCCTTTATTGTTTCACAACTCTCTTCTGTTGCAATACAGTCATTTGCTTATTACACGTGAGATCTGATGGTCAATGTACAATGTGGTCTCATCATGAAACACCGTCACACAGAGCTCCTTTCTACATTTTCTGCCGGAAAGCTTGCGCGTGATTATTGACGTAATAATCACCACGGCTGCTCCGTTGCCCACAGCCCCTCCCAAAATCTTTTTTTTTTTTACACTTGTTTGTTTTTCAAAGTGCATTTTCAGGATTGCAAAGGTGATTTGTTTGCCCCCCCCCGCGACTCAGCACGGCCATAATAATATACATGTCAGTATTCACAAAAGGGCCTGACTGCTTTGCTGTGAGGAACACTACATTTTCCCACTACGACACTTATTTGGATAAGTCAAATCAAAGAAAACATATCAAGATGCATGCCATGAACATTCCTCCATAAACATGAATAATCATAACAAGTGTAGCCTCTATATTTTTTTTTCTTCATTTAATTATTTTGATAATGACAAAGATATTTCCCACAAATGAGAACTAATGCTGTTTACATTTTGTTCTGTTTTTACACACAGGTCATATGGCTTAATGCCACATTGAATAGGGCAACACCCTAACTATTCATGTTAATAGCATTTGGTCCACAAAACCAAACGGAGCTTAAATAAAGTTTGATTGATTTGTTTGAGGAAAAAAAAAAGGGTAGCAGGTGAGTGTTTTCAACTTATAAATTGCATGATGCTGCCCTATAGTTTTCCTTGTATATCTTTTTTTCCTCCAAAGTTCTTTCAAGTGAAATGTTATGTCTTGGGGTGAGGGTAGGAAGAGATGATTTCTACATTTTATGACTTGGTTTTTATACTCTTCTGTTCCACGGAACAGCTTTGACTCTGTAGAATTTGGTTCCGAGAGGAACCTTGAACCTGTTCTGGGCCTGTTAAGAGAACACAGGAAAAGCTTTTGTGAGGTCCAACGCTCCAAAAAAGACGGCTGCTGTGTTCGACATCATCCACTCCTTTCCTACTCCCTTAAGTCCAGACTATTATTTTATTCACAGTGGACTATCATTCGTGATGCATAACTACATCGGATGTATCGACTCACCTTCAGATGCTTTACCTTCTGCCGTAAATATGAGCAAACAAAAAACGTATCATTTTAAAACTGACTGCATTTCATGGAAAATCATTTCCATTTTTATTGATGTCCATCCGCGTTGGGTATTTTCACACCCCAACTGATGAAAGAATACCCTGGAAATGGAAAATCATTTTTCTGTATTGGCACAACGCAGCATGGGATTTCGATTCTCAAATGAATATCGTTGCTCACCACTTTCCAAGGCAAGAACACGTTTGAATGGCACAAAAAAAAATCACTATGGTGAATAGGGAGTGATAGGGAGTGATTCCGAACACAGCGAACAAAAGAGAATTTCTCACTTCAAAACAGAGCTTGTTATAGTCTTACTAAATACCTTTTTAGCCTGGCAATACTCCTTCTCCATCACCTTTCCGAGCACCCACGGCCGCCTTGATGTCCCCGAGGCTACACCAGCACAACATAGGAACTTGTTTAGCACAATCATTCATTAAAAAAAAATCAAATAAACTGTAATTACTGCTTTCACTCTAACCCGGTTTGAGGTCCAGCGCAGTAAGTGATTCCGAGTGCAGGAAGTAGAGTGTCGGGCCGACGGTGAACAGCACGTAGTTGTCGTGCCTTTCATCCAGGATGATTAGAACCAAATCGCCGACCTGGAAGCTGAGGCGAGAAAACACGAAAAGTCATTAAGACAATTATAGAACTGAGTGCACAAATCCCATGCGTTCGGTGATAGTGTCGACTTGTGTTCACTCACTCTCTGATGGCGATTTTGTCGGAATGCCGCGAGGACACAGAAGACATGCTTTGAGACATCTAAAAATAAATAAAATTAGGCAAATAAATAAACAGAACAATGTCACTTGTGCAAAAGGCACTAAAACTGTATATTTGTCTGATTGTTGGTGTTTTTGCCTGTCTGCAGCCTACATCGTACACATCGTTTAGTTCCACTCCAGGCTACAAATTGTCTGTGGGTTCATCAGAATTCTACTCTTTGATGCTACTGCCATCTAACGGAAGGTTTGAGTAGAGCAGCAATGGTGGACTGACCAGTCTTTGGCTGAGGCGCTTGTTCTCTTCCTCCTTCATGTGCAAAGTCTGAAACAAATCATTGATGACACTTGATTAGACCACACAAATAACAGTTCTCTTTCGTCTCCTTTCCACGGAGCAGCACAGTTTGGGTTCAGTGATACGGGAAGCTTTTTGCAGTTCCATCATCACAAGTTCAATGGGGTACCACCTATGAACCTCGTAATTTTCCGTAATACTATTTATGGAGAAAAACGGCAAGAAACATGGATAAAGGGAAACTAGATCCGGATGTGCTGTTTATCACACTGAATTGAAGTGAACCCTCTGGTGGAAGTTTTGCGAATGCAAAGTGTGTGTAAGTACCCGCTCAAGTAAGAGTATCCTCTGCTTTTCCTCTGACATGACGATGTTCTCACTGCAGAAGCAAAAAAGAAAAGGAGAGCCGTGAAGCTATGCAAATGTAATTCTTCTTAATGCAACATTCAATGATCGTAAAATCAGTTTGGTTCGTATTCCAATATGATACTTACTGGACTGTTACCATGCTGGCCTCCACTGCTGAGTCGACATGCTCGTCGTCCCTCAAGGTGGCCACAGAGGCTAGTCTGTCGGTGTCGGCCAGGAGCTCGGATGAACACGCTCCGGCGACCTCAAGCGCGGAGGCGTGGGTGGTGAAGATGGCCGAGGAGACCAGGGCGGTGCTGCGCAAGCGGTTCAGCTCCTCTTCCATGTGCTTCTTCTCCTGCATCACGCTGGCTCGGTCCTCAGAGAGTGTCTCTATCAGAGCTACGAGCACCAACAATGAAGACGGACGTCATCTGGCGCTTTTCACGGGAATACGAAAGGACATGCGAGGCACTCACCTTTGTCCTTTTCCTGCTGTTGGGTGACATTCTGCAGCTTCTCCGTGAGGTCACTGATAATCTGCTCCTTCTTCAGCCTCTCACGAGTCAGAACAGTGTTGAAGTTTGTCTAAAGAAAGACACCCACACTTAACTCGTTCAATCCCAGCCATTTTCACTGGTGCAACGCCCTCAATCCCAGCGTTTTACTGGATTTTGACTGATCTTGCAAGGCCCACAGAATATTTGGTTCTAATGCTATATAAACATGGAGCCTACCAAAATAAAGTTTGGACTCTCTTCTTTCAGCAGAAAAAAAAATTGTTTTTATCTTTTTCCATTCTTCAGCAATCGGCATTACAAAATGGCTAAATTTCGTGGAAATGGCGATTCCTGGGCAAAAAACGGAGAAAAAGAGCTTTTTGTAAAAGCATGCGTTTCAATCACGTGAGGCACCACTGCCACCTACTGGTCGCTTTTTTACATGATTTACAATGCAAACGTCTTATTCTCATTCTAATTGCATCAGACCCTCCTCCTCTCTATGACGCAAAAAGAAGACTTAGACGTACAAGTGCGTCCTTGGTAGGCGGGGCCTAACTTATTGTGGTGGAGGGGTTTGTGTGTCCAAATGAGCCGAGGAGCTAAATTGTCTGGGGCTTTAAGCCCCTGGCAGGGTCACCCATGGCAAACAGGTCCCATGTGAGGACCAGACCAAGTGGTGGCTCAGAGACCCCCTTATGATGAAAAAGAAAAATGGATCCAGTTTTCCCCTGCCTGGATGCGGGTCACTGGGGCCTCCCACTGGAGCAAGGCCTGGAGGTGGGGCTTGAAAGTGAGCGTCTGGTGGCCGGGCCTGCACCCATGGGGCTCGGCCGGGCTCAGCCTGAAAGGAGAACTTGGGCCCCGCTTCCCATGGGCTCACCACCTGACCCCAAAGGGGTCGGTCGGGTGAGGAGTGAGCTGGGCAGCGACCAAAGGCTGTACACCCTCGGCAGGATATCCGAGGGTGCGTGGGAGTTCGCGCAACCCATCTGCAGGTGATTTGTGGACTTGGAAAATGGTAAATGGGCCGTTGCTCTTGATGACACATCATCAGGAGGAACTGGGAATTCATTATCTTGCTCAATGACACTTCAACAAGGTTGCAATGGCCAGGGATTGAACCCCCAACCTCTGGGTTGGGAGACGACGGCTCTACTATTGAGCCAGGCCCTCGTCTTCTTGGAAAAGGCGTTCGACCGTGTACCCTGGGGTATCTTGTGGAGGGTGTGTGCCAGCCGCCTCGCTGCCCATCTTTAAAACCCGACTCAAAACTCACTTGTATTCTTCGGCATTTGACTCAGCATGATTCAGATTTGTTCTTGGTTTTGCTGTTTGGTGCTTTCTACCGTCTTTGTTAGCGATTTGTTGCTTTACTGTTGTATGTTAGTTGTTCCATGTACAGCACTTTGTGTGCAGCGATGGCTGTTTGAAAGTGCTCTATAAATACAGTTGAGTTGAGTTGAGGAGTACGGGATATCTGACGCCCAAATACGGGCAGTTCAATCCTTGCATCACCGGAGTTTGGATTGCCTTTGCCGGCACTAAGTCGGATTCACTATGTCAAGACTTGGCACATTAGAAGGCACTGATGTAGTAAATGATTTTGTTTTTAGTTACACAGCCCCCATCTGAATTCATGCAGTGCTCCAAAACCCATTTTTTATTTGCATACTATTCCCACACCAAAATATGATTGCTTGTCTGACATATTATCCAAAACTTGGGATTGTTCTGCTGAAGTTGTAAGATGTGTTCAATTAACAAACGACTGTGACACACATGTATACATTTCCATGTCCTTTGTGGGAGAAAAGTTGCATCTCCAAACCTTTTCGAAAAACTTCCATTTTGAGATTTGCCTTGAAAGAAAAAAACTGAAGTAAAATCCCACATAACAAATTACTTGACAGTATAACGTCAGGTCGAGGGATGGATCTTTGTTCTATAAACAGAACGAGGCAAACAATAACCTGTTGTTCTGCTATCAGGGAGGTCTTGAGGTTCTGGATCTCCTCATTTTTCTTCCTCTCCAGGAGCTCCAGCTGGGTCTGCAGGGAGGCCCTCTCCTGCTGCAGGCGCTCCTGCAGGGCTGAGTCCAGAGAGAGAGGTGCATCTGTGCGGCTCTCGGCGCAAAGGGGTAGCCCTGCGTCACTGAAAAGCACAACGTGCAATTTTATATTGGCAAAGAACTTGCGTAGACGACAAAGTTCCTTTAGTGTCAGATTTGAAACGTTCGAGAGTTTGTGGTGAGTTGGTCAAAACATTTACCTCGATAACGACGGCCTGTTTTGAAGCTCATCTTCAAGTTGTCGTATCCTGTCAGACAGTCTCTTTTCTGTCTCCTCATTTTTCAACTGCAACACTTTCAACGTTTCGTCTGAGGCTTCCTCCTCTAGTCTTTTACATAAAAGCTGGTTTTCGGCCTGCAAATTACTGATCAGAGTTTTCAACTCGAGCTCCAGTTCCTGGAAATTCCTAAACTGCAGCTCCTTTTTTTCATTGGCAGCAGACACCTGCTGGTCCAACTCTTGTTTGAGGTTCTTCAGTTGCTCTGCGTGGCTCCTGTCAGTCTCCTGGGCCTGCTGCTGCAGGGATGATATTTCGCTTCGCAACAGGGCCATTTCCTTCTCATGTCTGTCGACCAGCTCCGAGATGCAGTGGTCCTTCTCAATCTTCAAGAGGCTCTTCAGCTCGGCTCGGTCCATCTCGTACTCCTCATTTTTCACCTGAAGTTCTTGTTTGGTCTTTGCGAGCTCTTCGGTGAGTACTTGCGTCTCGGCTGCTACCTGGGAGCTCACTGCCTCGGCCTGCTGCATCTTGGTCTCCTCTAGGAGGACCCTTGCCTCCTCTACTTCTGTTTCTTTTAGGGCCAACTCCATTTCCACCTTGCAACGCAGTTCTGAAAGCTCAGCATAGCGAGCCTCAAGCTCTTTTATTTGGAGGTCCTTCTCTTGTACAGCACTGTTATGGTGTTCTATTGCATCCTTTAGCTTAGTCATGTTTTCAGCAGCAATGTGTTCCAAAGCCTTCTGATGGTCTTTGGAGAGGTGGCCCAGTTCTGCTCTATGTTCCACCTTCAGTCGGTCCTCAAGCTCCTTCAAATGCGCCTGCGCCTCAGCCTCCAGTTCCTGCCTAATCTTCTGCTGGCCACGTTCGATCTCAAAATGCAGATTCTCCAGCTGACTTTTCAGAGAGTCTCTGCTAGCCAAGACGTTCTGGAGCTCTGTTTCTCCAACGCTCACCAGCTGCTCAGACTTCTTGAGTTTCTCTTTCAGGTTGCTCTCCGTTTCGAGCCAAAGCGCCTTGTCGCCCTCCAGCTGGGTGAGTTCTTTTTCTTTGCGCTCCATCAGTCCCTCCAGCTCCAGCATGGCACGCTGCACATCTCGCACGATATTCTGGTTGACTTGGTTGTCCTCGGTGAGCGAGCGGACCTGCTTCTCATATGCTTGCCGAAGGGTCACAATTTCGCTCTGATGCTGCTCTTTCAGCTCCAGTTCAAGCGCCCGGCAGATGTTGTCCACCATGTCGCGAACCTCTGAGCTCACACTCCTCAGGGCAAAGCCAAAGTCGTTTTGCTCTTTCGAGACCTGACTTCGCAGGCGACACAAGTCGTCCTTCACACATCTCAGGTTGGAGTGGGACTCCTCAGCCGCTAGTCGATAGTTGTAAATAGCTTGGTGGAGCACAGCGATTCTCGAGTTCTCCCTCTCCAGGATCGTGGTGTCCTGCATGCGCTTGTTGTCAATGGCGTTGATGACAGAAGAATACAAAGACTCCACCATCATTTCGGGGCTGGTCGGGTCACTGATGGGGTTCGGGGAAGTCAGGTTCTCCTCAATCACAAATTCGTTGACGGCGGACATAAAGTCGGACTCGGGGCTCTCTGCCAGTGAATCCAGGTCGAGGGACCCGGGTTGCAAGACGCCTTCCATGTTGGGATGGCTGATGGTTTCGAAGTCAAATGTCTGTGCGTCGATGCTGTCTGGAGAAAGGTCCTCTAAAGGGGCGGGAATGTTGAGTGGATGAGAGCTGGCTCCTTGAAGGCTGAGGGAGGCGGGAGCTTTGGAGGCCGCGGCCAGCCCAGGTGGGCTTTCTGCGGACTGAGGCGTTAATGCGGTTGACCTGTGCATGCTCTGGCTAAAAGACACCTTGAAAGACAAAACAGTGAAGACAAATCTGGTTATTTACATCGGGATTAATTGAGTTACTTCAAAAATATCTGAAAGTTATATCTTTTGATAAGGTACAGTGGTCCCTTCATTTGTCGAAGGGAACCTGCGATAGGTGAAATCCGCAAAGCATCTCACCATTAACATTTTCTCTTTTGTTTAAACACGCTCAAAGTTCAAAACTTTGCGAGAAAAATAAACACACAGTAATATTATTATTGTTGTATTTATTACTTATTTATTTGATATTATTTTAAACCTCCTGTTACATTGTGGGTGAAATTGACCCATTTAGAAAATAAAGGGAAGAAAAAAGGATTATGCTTCGTCTGCTGCCTGTGTTTTTCATTTTTGTTTTTAATATTATTTTTTTTTAATGATTAAACATTGGAGCAGGTTATACTGCCCCATGAACATTTTTAAGAAATGAACACAACAGGAGTGTGAAGAGCCAAACATCCATTGAAGAAATAAAAGTTTAAACATTTTCTGACAAATAATGATGACATTTTTGGGAAATAAATTAAATTTTAATGAACAACATATGAGGTTGGAAACCTAAATTATTAATTGTGACTGGCGCATACTTCACGGTTCCTCTGACCTTGGCATGGCATGGCACGGAGGACATGTATTCAAATTGGTCTACGCTACTTTAACCAATCTGGAGGCAGATTACAATGCAGGAGGGCTTTGTAATGACTCCATGAAGCTATGCCATTATCTCCCAACTTTATGTTATTTGGTGAAATGCTTCAAAGAGAAGTTATCCCTTTATTTGTATAAATAAAGGAAACTATGATTAATTTTTGCTGGAGGTCCAGATGTGTTGTGATGAACAACAAACAACTACTCGGCATCGGCCATCTTTGTTGTTTCCATTCGCCTCGAACGATTTGAGGTCGGAACTGGGACAATCTGAGTGGGATAAATCCGACTTCCCACCTTTCTCGAACGCAGCACAAGAAACATATTGGACCGTAAGTGACTAATGGACCATATTTTGCCCAGCCCTCGTGTCGATGGACGAATGGACAAAAAACATAAGACATCCCGCAGACTGTTTTCCCAGAAAGAGCTGAAGCGCCATATATTCACTTCCTACAAGTGTCCAAATAAATCTGCCAATGTGATGCATTTCATTTATCGTTCTCGTTATGGTTAGACAACTTTCCATGTTGAATAATGTCCAGTAGACCAAATCTGAAAGATTACCCTCTGTTCACTCAGCAGGTTAGTAATAGTTTCAGACATATCGTCCAAACTCTGTGTAGCTTGAACCAGACGAGTGAGCTTCTGCACGTGCTGATTCAAGGGATCAAAGTCGCACATCGTCGGGACCCTACCGAGACAAAGAATGAATTTTATGGATTTCAGAATTGAGTACAATTTTTGCAATTGCATTTTCATCCACACGTCTCCGGTAAAGGCTTACATGAGGAAAGGCTGCACCTCCACAGGACAGCACGATTTCAAGTACTCCAAGTCATTGACGGAGATGTCTGGAAGTTCATCGTCAAATCTTCGTGGTTTGCTTGTCTGCAAACAATTGAGAAGCAGAGTGAATGAAAATGATTCATAATATCAGGGTAAAATGCAATTATTCAAGAAACATAACGCCTTACACAAAATGAGGTCGGAGGCCATGCGTCAAGCCCTCGAAACAAACGATTTCTGAGGAAGGACTTTCCTGAAAAAACAGTTCAAGGGATGATCTCGTGTGCTGTCAACAAGTAATCTGACAACCGATTTGCTTGCCCTTACTGAAGAGTTTCCCAAAGTTCTCCCTTTTGAACTTCTCTGCTTCGTACAGTTGCTTGCCATCTTTAACAAGTGCGTAGGCCCACTAGGAAAAGAAATACTATTCCCAGTTTGTGTAATCACACCCAACACACAGAAATAATGCAGTAGGCAAGACTACGGACCTCTCTGTAGTGTCGCATAAACATTCTCCTCCGGACAACTTCCACCACCGCCAAGCAGTACATCTGGGGCACTGTACTCAGGGCTTCGACCACGCGCACCCTCTCCAGGAGCTCAGTGAGGAGTCGGAACAAAGCTTGAAGTTTCTCACCATCCTGGTCTGCGTGGAGCATCACGTAGCAGCACCATCTGTTGCAAAGATTCAGATGACAGGTTGAGAAAATGAGCAGGAAGCAGCCACCCGCAACGCGGAATCTAAGAGAAAGCATGAGGGAAATTACTTGAGTCGGACTTGAAGGTTGTTTGCAAGCTCCTGTTTGGCAGTGGTGCACTTCTTTTTGATGTCCAGCAGCTTCCTGTGGTTGTTCAACATGATCATCAGCTGGTTGGTGTGACTTAGACACAAGTCTGGCAGAACAGATGTGTCCTTCAGGTTTTCAGCCCGCTTCTGATTGGCTAAAAATCCCTGGAAGACAATGCATACAAACGTCAATAAATATGATACACTATCTGACAAAGTACTGGAGCGGTTTGACTAATACCCTTCTAGCGGCAACGTTTAGTTGTTTGACTTGGAAAGATGAACAGATCAACCGTTGTGCTGTTTGGCAGTCGATTTTCGGTATTTATCCACTTTACACACCTGAGCAAGTTCTTTTTGTTCATTGACCAGCTTCTTGCAGCTCGCAATCATCTGGTCGAGAGCGTACAACCGGTCCTCCAGCCCCTTGATGGCTTTCATATTTTGATTATCCAACTTGGCGATGGTGTCGCGACAGTCTGCGAGGAAAGGTTGGATGATCCGCGGGTCAAGCTGTCAAAACAAGAATTACAGGATAGATGTATTTTTTTTTAGCCATCACAGATTTATAATGACTTTTTCAAAAAGAATAATCAGTGGCTCACCCTGTTGATGGAATCAAAGCATTTCCTAACAACAGACTCCACGTCATTAGGCCGATCTTGCACATTGATCCAGTCCAAAAGCGTGACATTGAATTGGGGCAGGTTTCCGGGTTTGGGGATGTGTTCATCCTGCAGCGCGGCTCTGAGCTCCACGTTGTCCATCATCTGACTCATGTCTCGCTCACCAGTACCTTCGCTCTTGGCCATCTCAGTAGATCCTGGTACCTTGTGGCCCCGCTGTGCATCTGGGGCACATAGCACTGAGTCACTGGATTTTTCTTCTTCCGTCTCATCGGAATCTTTCTCTGGGGTGGAGGCAGACTTCTTCATGTGCTCTCGATGACTTTGTCTTGTCAAACATTCCAGCAGAGGTATCCTAGCCATCACAGAGACTGCTGTCCCCAGCCTGTTGACAATTAAGGCACAGAAGTTTACCAATGACGGCAAAGACTAAACGAAAGAGCACAGACACATCTCTCTGTCCTTGCTGAGTACAATATGCTATAGAAACAATATAGGATTTCATTTATTTCACCAGTTCATTTCTGTTCAGAGTAAAACTCACACTCATATTTACAGAACCATTAAACACATGGGAGAATACTTGTCAGATGTCCAGTGCCTACATAATCTCAGTTGTCTGATGTCTTGAGATGATGAACTTTTGGCTTTCGGTAGGTTAAAGATGAAATCGTCAAAATTGTAAAATGAAGTAATCTTCATTTGTAGTGAAGCTATACATTTGTTTCACTTTTTAAATGAAACTGGTACATGCATGAAGGTATTCTATTTCATGGAGCTTCACCTGTTTGTATACATCAATACTGAAGAACTGAGTGTACACCACAAAGTCAGTTGTGTTTGTTCTTAATGTGAAGAGTGTAATCTACCAGACACACGTCGTTACCACCCCCATGCATCAAAGTTGTTTTAAGGTAGTGCAGTTAACTTCTTTTTACACTTGTATGACAGTAAACATAAATACAGCTAAGTAAAGTTTGCCCATGCATTGCGTTACACCACATCAAAGAGTGCCTCGTTTTAGGTTTGTTATGCAGCGGTTTAACTAAAAGCCTGCTAAATGTGGTGCTAACAAATGCAAAACAGAATTCCCATAACATACACAGTACTGCAAAAATACTGCGTTTGATTTGAGCGACACTTACTTTGTGAGCTTAAACTTAATTTCCTCCAAATCGTGCTGGTACGTTGAGTATGCAGTGTCAAATTTTACTAGTAGCTTCTGATAGGACAGCGTGCAGTCATCCAGGTTGGCCATGATGGCGGCCCAGCCTTGGTGCTGGAGGTGTTCGTCATGAACCAAACGTTCACAGAACGAACTAAGCTTGTTGGCAACTTCAAACATTTCCTGCGCGGCAAGCAGAACACATTATATCAGTCAAATGACAGGTCAAAGCTGCAGCATATTTATTATTTGAAAACCAAAATGCATGGTTGGAGTAGCCCACAACGTATCTCATGGCACAGTCCCACTTTTGTAAATATTCAAGTACAGGTACCATCGAATTAAGTTGTTTAACAGAGGCGTCGGGTTACAATAATAAGGTTTTGCGTTTTGCCGCTAATACAATACATCCTAATTTAGATTGCGCTTTCACAACAGCTGCAGCTGTAACAAAGCACTTTACAAAACAGTTAACATAAACACAGACAGTCGTGCAATCTTAATCACTTTTCCCTCTTTGTTGTTTGAAGCAGTTCTCGATGGAAGACGAGAGAAGCAAAGTGTCCTTTCACCAGTGGATCAGCGACGTCATGCTCAAAATGTGCACACGTCGGCTACAAGCTAAGTTTGAAAGTAAACAAGAAGCTGCAGCGTCCATTGATGAAAAAAAGAGATTGGTTCACTTCTCCTAAAATGCTCAAGAGAATTGAACCAATCTTTCTGTATGTCTGTTTTTCACAAATCGACAGACTATTGGCTGTTGGAGGACTGCAGTTGCTTGTTTACTTGCAAACGCAGCCTGTAGTGAGTGACGTCAAGCACGCTGTGATGGCAACATCGATGATTGCAGTGCCCTCATTCTGGTCAAAGAAGACTACAGATTATCTTATTTCCATGCTTGACACAGGTGGTGTATGTTTCGCTTTTTTATTCCCATCTGTATCTCTACTTCTACATTATTCATGCTAGCCACTTGATACCTTTTTGACTTCTAAATGTAAATTAGGATCAGGACCCGGACTTTGACTAAAATGATGTATTAATGATTCAGCGTTTGGTGAGGATGAAGCTACATGTTCAATTTGATCAAAATCTATTCAAATCCTTTGGTGAATTAACAAGAAATGCCCAATTTGGCACAAGTTGAGATCTCAAGTACTGTTGTGAACAAAGATAAGATAACCTTTATTTGTCCCACACTGGGGAAAAAAACAATGTGCGCATGCTATTTGCAAGACAACAAAGTGTTGAGATGTGTTGAAGAGGGGGGGACCAAACAAAACAACAACAATAATGTCTCGCTAGCATTGTTCAAGAAGCGTTTGACAGTCAATTACCAGAGCAAGTTGTGTTCGAGAGGCAACGGTGTGAAAGACGGCTGGCATCAGTAGCGACTCTTCCACCTTCACCTGAATCTCGCTCTCAATGGAGAAGGTGGTTTTGGGAATGGTTGGATCCCGGTCGGACAAGATCATCTCCTTGTTGAAAAGGAATATGGGGTTTGTTTCCTGGAGGCAAATAGCGACAAATTGTGAATCAACATAATGTATGAGACCGTGTGAATTCTGATGAACACGAGGTACTCTGAAAGTGGGTCGTGAATTCTCTTCTTGCAATGTGAAAACATTAGGGCAAAGATGGACTGATTTCAGGCTTTCTAATAGGTGGAATTGCACACGACTTTTTACAATTCCAAACTGAATCCATTTCAAAACTATTTGGGGGAAAAATACACCTCTGCAGTGGGACAAAACTGTAAAAGTCTACCCACAACCATGTATGACTTTACGAGACAGAGACCTCATTAAATGGCTCTTTAAGGATTTTTAATTTGATTTATTTTTATGTTTTTGCTTTTTCTTCTTCATTTTGTGACGCCAACAGAGACGAGGTACCATCAGTGGCCAAGGAAGATGTGTTTGCGTTATGTTTAGTCTTGATGTGAAGAGTCAGCTCTCAGCCCTGTGCACGCCTCTGTAGGTACGTCAAAGTTAATGGTTAGAGCAATTGTTTTTTTTTTTTTTTTTTTAACGTTTTATTATATGGTGGTTAACTGTCCATCATAAATAATCAAACATTAAGTAGTTTTACTTTATTTTAATCAATTACAGAGTGGTTATTTTACACACTGGCATTGACAATATCACTTAAAATTGTCTGTGCCGATCAAGGTTTTTTGATGGTGACAATCTGATTTGAGAGTGGGTGAACTCAATATCAATTATTTTCTATTGAAGTCGATGAACTCAATATCAATTATTTTCGACGACAATTTTTGTTTCTGTTTGTTCTACTTTTGTTAAATTGCACCATTGTGGTTTAGCCAGCGCATATTTTAAAATTACAAATATTCGGAGTTCAACCAATTTGTCAACTTTACTAAGTTTTTACTAGCTTGAAGTTGGTTAATTGCTAATCATGTGTTTGGACATCTAACAAGACGGCACAGAGTGCAAAAATAAGATGGTTACGAATGAGAGGAAGGGTTAGTCTCACGACCTTCAGCTCTTCCGATCAGCACTAGTCTTAAAATATGAATATCAAATGCACCACGGGTCTGCAGAGAGAAACGAGGGTAATAGCACAAAGTGAAGCTCCATCTTCGTTGCCAAAAGTTACCTGCTCCACTACCCCCGACAAAAGCACCCGATGGGAGATCACAAATTATTTCAGCCCTTCAACGACCATATTAAATGTATGGCAAAATATAAAGCAACATTCTGAGAAACGTGCATTATCAGGTACTAACACCATGTTGGTATAAATGTGTTTGGCCTTTTTTGTAATAGCTCCTTTGAGGTTTTTAGAATTCCACAGCAGGCTGGATCAAACTAGCATTGTCTTAACAGCTGGTGTGAAAATAAAATTGTTATACACTTACAGTGCCCGCACTGTAGCTGCAGACACGCCTCTCAGCATCCATGCATTCACCTCCATTGACAACAAGGACTTGATGTTGAAGTGCAATCTTATACTTCGCCTGGATGGCATGTTTAAGTTCCAGTACACTGAGAAAGGAAAGGGAAGAAAAGTTAGACCAATGTCAAAATGGCAGGTAGACTAGCGCATTGAGGCGATGAATGGCCGTTTCTCTTACGTTTGGACAGCAAGATCTGTGTCAAATGTCAGTGTGCTGCCATTATTAACCTGGAACACATACAACTTCATGTTGAATCCTCCGCTGGTCTCCGCACTTGTTCATTTAGTCTTCGAAGGCCACCCTGCAAAAAGCAAGCATACCAAATGAATCAAACCCTCCCAGCCATGTCAGTTTAAAGTTATTTTTTTCATGATCAAAGGGAATAACTCCGAATGTAACTATGTTGCTAAACGCTTTCATTGAGATTAAGAACTATGAAGAGGATGTATTATTCAAGACACCTCTGAGAAAACATATTTTTGTCCTATTTTAACCATAATCTCGCATGTTCTCAGTGCCTTTCAGGGCACCCCATTAAAAAACGTTACTAACATGACAACTGCATATACGAAAATCAACATCCTGGCACTGATCTCTTCTTTTTAGAAAAGTCATAAAAGCAACTGGAAAAGCAGTCTGTATAATTGTGCTACAAAAACACCAAAGACGTCTTTTATGTGAGATAATTCAGACATTCATCAAGGAGGAGACTCGGTGCTTGCGCCTTCTCGGCAGCATGGGTATACCAGCACTGTTTTTGATTGGGAGGAATGTCGGTGCCATTTGACTGTTATTGCTGGACAGCTCTGGGGTGCTTGTGTTTTTTTTTGCGCCTGTCATGGGCAGCATTTTACACAGCCCCGCTTTGTTCGGCGGAGAGATCGGTGCTGTTGGACGGTCTGTGGCTGGATGGATGCAAGGCTTGAGGAGCCGACGATGAGAAGAAAGGAGCGTCAGGGCAGAGCGCCAATGCAGATGTGGAACTGGTAGTCGCGGCTTGGAGTTGAAGCGGATTACGTGGGACAGGAGATGTGAGCCAATCTCTTTTTGTCAATGGACGCTACAGCTTCGTGTTTGCTTTCAAAACTTAGCTTGTAGCAGACGTGTGCATATTTTCAGCATGACGTCTCTGATCCACTGGTGAAAGGACACTTTGATCCTCTCCTCTTTCATCTATAACTGCTTCAAACAACAAAGTGTATGCAGGAAAAGTGACTAAGATTGCACGATTGTCTGTGTCTTCTGTGTTGTGTTATTTTGACTTCAAGATGGCGCCGCGAGAGTGGCTGCCTTTCCAGCAGCTCCTATATTTTGTTCTTCTACTTTTTCCTTCATATTTTTGCTGCTGTGAATTGGGAATTTCTCCTTTGCGAGACTAACAAAGGATTTCTTATCTTAAAGTTTAAACGCCAGTAGAAGTCACATTTGCACCCCAAGTAATAATGTTGCCTGGAATAACGCATGTCTATCAAAATAATGTCATTTTTTCCAAAGAAAAGTCAACTCCGACCAGGGGTTAAAGTTAAATATTTCCCTGCTCCTACAATGGCGACATTGGTAACACATTCAAATGTTAAGACATAGCACTACAAACAAATGAACAGCCATTAATCTCGAGGCCCTTCAGTTAGAAGGGTCACACAAGGGACAATGGATTGTCATGTATTTTTTTTCTTTGTGCTCGTGTCTGGCAATAGCCTGGCTTTAAATATATCTAAATTCTCCTTGATATCACTACTGTTCGTTTCCGTAACTGAAACGAATGGCATCTGTTAGCCAGTCTGTAATGTTACCATGCTAACTGCGCTAAGTGGCCATTAGCCAAACACAGCACTAGTCGATGAAAATGGAACTGACCTTTCACAACGAAACAAGCGGTTACTACCAATCGTATGTGCGCATTAGTATACTTATCACATTACACAATGAAATAAATGCCCCAATATGTCATGTCTTACCTTACTTCACCCGCATCTTCCGTTGTTGGTCTCCACCTTTACCTAAGGCGAGTGGGCTAGCTAACAAGCTAGCAAACGAGCTAGCTAGCTAAGCCAGGTTACTTTGGCAAACATAGAGCTAACCTAGCAACACTAGCTCGAAGACGCGGCTAGCCTCGGGTTAAAAACAGTCATGGTGTAGGAAAGTCATTGGTAGTAAACAGCATTGCCGTTTTAAATAGAGGTCTGGTGTTTCTAATGTCCAACCCAGGATGGTGTAACAAACAGGCATAGGCTTTATCTGTTTATAGCTGGGAGCTAACTACGCTAGCAGCCTTGCTCGCTCTGTTTTGTTGTTGTCATCTCCTGTGGGCGGTTCGTAAACGATTGGCTCTTTGGTTACGCGGGAGGGACAAGATTCCACATTACTTTTACAAGTGATCACAAATCAGCACTAAAACGGTGTGAAAGGGCAACATTTAAACATGTATTTCCAATAGAATATTGTTCGACGAAAGTAAAAATAAAATGTGGAGTGATTTCGTGGCTGATGATCGAACGTGATTTGGATTTTATATTTGTATTTATTTTTCATGAATTTAACATAATTTTTAAAATTACACCTTGATTACGATGGTCAGAAAGTCTGATTTTGACAGAAGTGGCCGTGAGCACATGACATCTTCATTGGTTGGTTGCAGGTGCATTGTGGGAAAATAAATGGGGGTGGGCTTTGAGTGTTTTGCTGCAACATGAGGATGGGTGTGGTTAATGGGGCCTGCAGTGACGTCAAATGAACGCGTATCTGCAGAAACGCAGTTATAAAATGTCTAAAAAAATAATTATGAAACAACTGTATTCATTTTTACACAAAATTCTATTCTTTTACTTTGAATTTTGGGATTTTTTTGCTGAAAACTGTGCTGTTAGATAGATAGATAGATAGATAGATAGATAGATAGATAGATAGATAGATAGATAGATAGATATAGACCCGGCAAAAAAGAATTAATAACAGTGAAAACAATTCATAACTATTTGTATTGTCATAATAGACACATATTAAGCGACCTTTGGTCCTTTAAAAAGCACGATTTAAAGCTAAACTAAACTATTATTGTTTACATTGCTTGGGGGGTTTCCAATCCGTTCAATCCTCACAAGGGTCGCGGGAGGGGGGAGGGGGGGCGGTGCTGGAGCCTATCCCAGCTGTCTACGGGCAGCTGGCGGGGGAACACCCTGAACCGGTTGCCAGCCAATCACAGGGCACACAGAGACAGCTGTCATTGCATGTTTTTGGAATATGGGAGGAAACTGGAGTACCCGGAGAAAAGCCACGCAGGCATGGGGAGAACATGCAAACTCCACACAGGAAGGCCGGAGCTGGAATCGAACCCGGCATCTCTGCACTAGGAGGTCGACACGCTAACCTGCCGTCAGATAACATATTATTTATTATTATCGTTATTAATAATAATGATAATAAGAATAATGCACCCTTATCAAGAAAATGACCGAAACAGATTGCAATATAGTCTAATTGGTTGTTGAAATGTCATACATTGCTGAGTATGCTTCTTGGAATAGTGTTCTTACCCGCCAATATCGTTCACAGCCATGTACAGTTTATTGTAATTTTATATTCGCTGAAGTCTTCAGCATATCTTGTCAGCCATTTGTCCCAAATAATGGTACCCTGCAGGCAACTCTATCACTGTTGCTTGGTTGCAAAGAATGGCTTGTGGTGGTTGTGCCAACAGGATCATATGTCGCATTCAGTCACAGAATTCTTGAGTGCATTATTTATTTACACCACGAACCACAAAACCTGATTTGACTACAAGTTACACAATAAATGGATCCATCCGTACATCCATGTAGCATTTGTCAGGGCACATAGAGACAAATACGCACTCATAAGTATGGACAAATGAGAGTATTTCTTAAATATAACATATATGTGTTTGGAATGTCGGAAGAAGCTGCAGAAATATGCATTATTGTGATGAAACAAAACATTTGCACCCCGAACACGTTTGTCGAACGTCCACATTTGGCCTGCAGAGGACAGCAAAGGGCTGAAGAAAAAAAATCCTAACAACCTGACGATTCACTGCGTTGCCCAAGTGTCGTACATAATAGCTTATCTATTTCTGAATTGCTTTTGTGTAATTCAATTACAGTTGTCCCAGGCTCATGTTGACGCGCCAGCAATCGTCAGCTGTTTTTGCAGTGTATGTTTACACCAACAGGTGTCTCAAGTCAAGACTGGTCTTAAAGGAACAAGTGGTTAAAAACAAAACAAAAAAAAACATTTAAAAGGATTCCCAGGTGTCATATACATATACATATGTATATGCTACCCTTCCGTCAAATTCTTCAGAACGACTGTGTTGGAAAGCATGGGTGTAGATATAATACATTTATCGTTGCCACCAAATGGCAACAGTTCAATGAAGGTGCTGTGTCACTCTCTAAAACAAATTAACAAACGAATTAACCTAAAAATCTCCTTCAACTAAACCAAAACAGTACTGCAGCAAATTCTTTTTGGCAACAAAGAAAAGAGGGTTGCTGTTAGGAAACACCAGTCACTGTCTTTATAAGCCAAAGACCAAGTCCGAAACCTTAGGGTGCTGTTTGATTTGGATCTGACTATCAGCAGTCATAATGATATATCAATCACTAAAAAAGTCTTTTACCATCTTAAAAACATATGCATCTTGAGAGGTTGCATGCTCCAAGCAGACCGTATCCACTGTTTTATCTCCAAGTAGACTTGATTATCATAATGGTCTTCTGACTGGACTCCAGCAAAAGAGCATCAAACAGCTGCCGCTCATTCACAACACTGCAGCTCGGACTCTGAACAGAACAAAGAGGTCAGATCCTATTCAGTCCTAAATGCTTTACACTGGCTCCCAGTCAGCTGTAGAATACATTCAAAAGTTATGCCACTCACACACCAATTTATCACACCACTTTATAAATCACTGAATGGCTTAGGCCCTGAATACATTAAAAGAATGCTAATTGAATACAAACCCAATAGAACAGGGGTGTCCAGACTCAATGTTCAGGATTGTTGTCTTGTTTCTTCAGAGCTTGCTGATGAGCCGGTCCTTTAAATCGGGTGTGTTTCGGCAGGGAGGGATGGAAAACAGGCAGGACATCAACCTTTGAGTTTGGACACCCCTGCAATAGAAAGTTCGGAAATCAGCGGGAAATTAATTGGTAGAGCCCAGAGTTCAAAAGCAAACTTGGTGAATAAGCATTTAGTTGTGATGCTGCATGCAAAACTGGAATAAGATCCCAACAGAACTGGAATTAGCTTTCAGTGAAAATGCGTTTAAATCCACGTTAAAAACTATGTTTTCCCATATTTTTCCACTTTTTTGAAAGCACTTCTATAATAATTTTTTTTGTGCAAAATCTTGTTCTTGCGCTATGCATTCTTTTAGTAATTTTAGTAAACCACTTTTAATTTTTTGGGGCTTTTAAATATCTTTAAGTCTTCTCTTTTTCACCCTTCTTTTTGTCTTTTGTTCGTCAATGCATTTGAATGTTAATGACAACATATAATTTTGTTCAAAATTGGTATTGCCTAATGACACAAAACATATAGCTACACACTGAGCAATTTATTGAAACAAGACTGTACGGTTAAAATACGCAAAAAATAATCCAAACCAAATTGAGGCGAGCGTGTTGGTTTGGCTCTCGGTAAGCCTTCCAGTTTTTTTCATGTTGCCCCTTTGCTAAATTAATTGCCCACCCCTGCTTTTGCGGTATTTCTTTGCATGAAATCTTGCCCCCCAAAAAAGCGCACCTTTTCAATTTGGGGGATTTTATTATGAAATCTAATGTCTGCTGTGCAGGCTCTTTATGTATTGTATTAAGAGTCAAACAATAAATAAATATATAACGATGAGGCAACGTGTTGTTGCAGTATGTGAATTAGCATTTTGCAGTAGATCTGCACTTACATAACCGCCAGGTAGGTTATCATGGTTGTTGCGACTTTCACCCCCGCCCCCTCGCCCCCTCCTCCTCTTCTCTTCTCCTCCTCCTCCAAACTCCCACCCACCCGAATCCAATCACACCCTCCCCCATCTCAAGTACAATTACGTGATGGCTGACGTTTGAGCATGCGGAGGAGGAAGCAGCAGCACTAGTTTGACCGGAGGAGGACGACTCAACATTAGCTTCTCAATTGAAGGCGACCATCGAAGGCAGCGGACCGGGGCGCCGCCGTGCACAAGCCGAGCCCATTGTCTCCTGCGTCGGCCCGAGCCAGCCAGCCAGCCCGGTGTAGCTCACCCCGGAGTCCAAAGTGCTAGGCGGCATTATTGGGGAAAGAAAACTCGGGGGCCAGAAAAGACGAAGAAGGGACTATGCGCCACGGCCAAGTTTGAATATGAGCAAGGAGCGTGGCGTTTTGTTGCAATCGGCGAGCAACTATTGATGCTTGTGACGCGACCGTTGCCAACGGCAGCAGCAGCAGCGGCGGCGGCAGCAGCAGCAGCACAATTCGCGCGGACTTCTTTTGTTCGTGAGCAGCATATTCTGGTGGGCACGTTTGTGTTGCTACCTTGCTAACAACAACAACAATAACAAACACTCAACAAAGTCTCAGTCCGACACGCACACGCGCGCAAAAAGATGAATTTCCAATCTAGCGCCCCTGTGTCTGGTATCTCGCCGCAGTCCCAGCCAGCTATGTCCACCCCGGGCACCGTCCCGGCCCCGGTACCCCAGTCCATCCCGTCGCAATTCGGATCCGGCTCTTCTGCGAGCTCCGGTGCCGGCCAGTTCGGCTCGGGCACGGTGTCCGGCCAAGCGGCGCAGTCCGGGTCCGCCGGCTCACAGTTCGTGTTGTCCAACTCGGCCGCCATCCGGGCGGAGATCCACCGTTTCGAGTCGGTCCACCCGAACATCTACGCCATCTACGACCTGATAGAACGCATCGACGACCTGGCCCTGCAGAACCAGATCCGAGAGCATGTGATCTCCATCGAAGGTGAGTGTGCTACTTTCACTTCTGGGGGGGTGGAGGTGGCTTATAGCCTCATTCATTCAAGGGAGGCAACAAACATTGGGCCCACGACCGCAGTGTTTCCGAATCTTTATTGAGCCAAGGTGCATATTTTACATCGGAAAACATCTCACGTCACACTCCTCAACAAAAATGACACAAAAAGTAGACATGCATGATAATTACAGTATCTAACCTCTTCGATATACTTGAAAATCGTTTGTTTGTTCTGTCTGTCACTAAATGTCACTGGCATAGATCGACATAATTTGTATTCATTACCGTAAATACATAATATTTGGATCAATTAAATAAAATTGGACAATTTTGCACAGTACACCCACTCGGGATCACTGC